TTCCTCCAAATATCGCACGAGCTTAATATAATTCATTTACAGTTAATTTCAAAAATGCATTTTTTTCAAATTAATTTGAACATATGTGGTAGACAAAAAAATATATCACTTCAGTTATAAAAACAAACAAGTATATGTAATACGTTATGACACTTTTACTTTCACTTTAAAAGAAACAAGTATATGTATTATGGCATGGCACTTTGACTTTCTGCTTTACCTGGAGAAATGTTGCCAGAGCTTTCGGGTTTATATATAAATTTTTTTTCGACAGTAGCTTTACCATTTTCTTCATTTCTACAGGCAAGAATGACGTCATTTCCGGCTTCACATAGTGTTCTTGCCGCTTCAAACCTAATCCCAGAATTAGCTCCAGTGACGATTATAACCCGGCCCGTCATTTTATGTAATCATCAAATTTGATGTATTATAGTTTTCTTTTGTTGGACTTTGATATCGCATATCAAACAAGAAGTTTTATGCCAATGTTTGTTTGTGCAATATATTGTATTTTATACATATTTGATAGTGGGTTGATCTGAAATGTTTATTTACAAAATGCTGCATTACTTGATGGGTACTATCATATTAAATTGTCTGTTTTATAGATTCAAATGGTACATTTTTTTTTTTTTTTTTTTTTTTTTGGCATTTTATATTTTTGAGAAGTAATGAATTTTCCAAATCAAAATGTTACAGTCAGCTAGTAGTCAGATTAAACTATTGTATAAAACAATATTGTAAGACCTACATACAGCTTCTTCCAGAAAAGTAGAGAAAAATAATTTTACACAAATTGTGTTTAATACTCAATTGAGCAAAAGGCTTAATGTGAACTATTCTGATCGAAGGGTGTCTACTTGTCTGTGATGTCTGTAAACTATCTCAATTTTCAACTTCTTCTTCGGAACCACTGGATTGATTTCAACCAAACTTGCCACAAATTATTATTGGGTAAAGGAATTCAAGCTTGTTCATATGAAGGGACCCATTTTCTTTCAAGGGGAGATAAAGAAGGAATAGTTAAAATATAGTTCTGTGATTTAAAGTCTTTCTCTCAAGAACCATCAGACTAGAAAAAACAAAAGTTGTGTGAAAGCTTCCTTTTGAAGTGTTAATTCAAATTTGTTCAAGTTATTATTATCATGCGAGTGCCCTCAGGTAATACAGACAACATTCTGTACAAATCTTGAAAACAGGTGGACTATGTTTAAGATATTGATTTGCAAGCAACATCAGGTATTGCAAAATTAGGTTTGCTCAAATCATGGCCACTGGGGATCAGAAGTAGACCACAATTTTAAGGGAGAAAGTTGAACAGGGGATTAAATAGACTAAAACCAAACCAGGGCAAATTAATGTTTTGATTGATTCTGAGCAAGTTTTTGTCAGGGTTAGTGTTAGATCTGTATTAAATCAGGTTCCAGGATATTTGCGGTGTTTAGGGTCAGAAAATGGCATGAATAAGCTATTTTCTAACGCTGTTACAGAGAATGCACGTGGGAGTTTTAAGGGTGCCTGGTCCTTCGTTGAAACAGGTTGTGTTGAACGTGATTTTTAAACAGTTTTCCTCATAGTCTGTCAGCACTGAATAGGCATATTCACTGAACGTAGTCCCAAAATCAATGGCACAGGCAACAGGCCATGGTATGACTTCTTCACCCATATCTAACTTGGCAATTCAACTCAAATCATATTACTTAACATATAATGCAGGAACAACAATTAATGATACAGTTGTTTAAACGAAATATCAGGTGAAAGAAAATGAAGATTTTAAACTAGCTTTTTAAACTAGAATAATGTTAGAATACAAAGTGATTAAAATTCCTGTGATCACTTTCATGAATCTGAAGAGCTTCTGTAATTGTACAGGCTGGGGAGAAACGTAAATTCCGCTATATTTGTGGTATATCACTATTATAGTGAGATAGTAGTGATATATCACTATTATAGTGAGATAGTAGTGATATATCACTATTATAGTGAGATAGTAGTGATATATCACTATTATAGTAAGATAGTAGTAGTATATAACTATTATAGTGAGATAATAGTGATATATCACTATTATAGTGAGATAGTAGTGATATATCACTATTATAGTGAGATAGTAGATATATATTACTATTATAGTGAGATTCCGCTATACTTTCAGCCGTATTTATCCTCGATTTCATCTAATAACATGCTTGCTGTTTAAAGCGCAAGTCTTAATGGGTATAAAAATAGACACTAATTGGCACCCTTACATGTTATGAATTTTAATAGATTTTCTGCCGATGCGGTTAATAATGCGAACACACTTTTTAAAACGGAAGTTAAATTTTTAACATAGCAACCAGTGATCGCGGTAATATTTAAAAAGACTGGGTCTCAATTTTTTCTTAAAAATTGGCTGAAAATATAGCGGATTTCACTATAATAGTGATATACCACTATTATAGCGGAATTTAACTCCCCCCCCCCCCAACCTGTAGTATGTAACTCTTTTCATATTGCATATAAGGAAATTTAAAAGCTTTACAGGCAATAATTTGCCATTTCTAGGAGTAAACATTGTCATTTCCATGACTTAAGAAGACGTTTTCAGATATGTTTTTCTTCAATACAAGACTATCCTGGGGCCAGAAGTTTGGGCAGAGGATGAATATGTAAAACATTTGATAGAGAATTTAGAGTTTTAATTATAATCTGCAAAATACGTCGTACTTCAAATGGTCATGAGTAGAAACATTTTCAAAGGTGTAATGCATATTAAAGCTAAACACTACACATAAATAGGCACCGTCACACAGGCATATCAACCCTTCGATTTCGTTACACCCAATTGCACACTTGAAACTCATGGAAGACGTGTAGTATTCCTTTCGTGGTCTTAGATTTTGTGTGTTTATTCCTTGCTATGATATATCGACGACGTTTTATCAGTTAACAATGGACTTTTGCGAGAAGCGCTGACTTTTACAAACGACGACTTACTTTTACACTAGGGCATTATACGGAAGCTCTTTTGCGATATAAACATTAAGCTCAAGAGTTAATTAAACGATGATAATGGGCCATTTCAAAGCAAATATTCTTTGTCTAAGAAGGGATCGGCATCCACCCTATCCTCAACCCCCTCCATTCCCACATTGACCAATTCTTGCTTAAGTTTTCTTTCGATATGTTTTTTCTTCCTTATTTCATTCCTTCAGAAAAATTAGATTGAAAGGAGGCACTAACCTCACGAATAAGGTAATTTAAGGTATGTAATTCTGGTTGTCATCATCTTTTGCATTGATTGCATACAGGTAAATCATGTTAGTGCCCCTACCACCATGCCTATAACCACTATAAAGGTTTTCTTGTCTATTATCAATTCTGTGTCTCCGTACATAATGCAGGTTTAAATGTCAAAGTAAGCCATCGACTGTAAAAGTCAGTGCTTCTCGCAAAAGTCCATTGAATAGTAACTTCCATTCATGTCGACTCGATATATCTCAGTGAGCTTGAAATAAAAGATACCACAGAGTCTGACATATTTGTTTCTTTGTTTATTTGGATATTTCACTGACATTAATGGTAAACTAATAACCAAGCTTTATGATAAATGTGATGACTTCAACTTTTCAATTGTCAACTTCCATTGCTTATGCAGCAATATACCCTTGTCACCTGCTTATGTGGTTTATGTCTCTCAGTTGATTCGATACGCAAGAGAATTCTGTACGTAAGAACAATTTCTAAAGTGAGGCAAGCTATTGACAAACAAGTTGATGAAATAAGAATATCAACAGTCTCGTTCAAATCAACATTTCGCAAAGTCTATGGTCGAATCGATGACCTTGTCAGCAAATAAATTTAAAAATCAGTCAACTGCTGACTGACCTTTTTCATACTATTTGTTAGGCCATTATTTAAACACTAAACGGATTTTTCCGTTTTTCCCCGATCAGGACATGGAGCACACGGCGGGTGTAACCAGTCGACAGGGGATGCTTACTCCTCCATGGCACCTGATCCCACCTCTGATGTTTTGGAGGTCCATGTTTGCTCTGCTCCTAATCAACAAAAACAGGGCCAGGTGCTGGTATAGGACAGACGACATCCAAAAATAAGAATTCAATGCTTAAATATAAACAGGGATTAATATTTGACAGACCAAGGGAAGGATCTAAATGGCAGATTCGTGGATTGGAAGAGGAAGAGAAGGTACAATTTTTAAAATGTTGAATAATAAATCTTTCATAAGAAAAAAAACTCTTACGGTAGCTCAGTCTGTAAAAAAATAGGTAGCAACAGTTCCTTCACCAAGCGCTCGGTACTTAGAAGTTAAAGTTATGGGTCCTTCGGATGAGATCTTAAAAACTAAGGCCCCGTGTCACAGTAGGCGGCCATGAGTGCCGGGTAAAGTCTAAATTTGGAGCCCTTCACGGGTATATTGTGACGTCTCTATAAGAGTGAAATATTCTCGAAAGGGACTTTAAACAACATACAATCAATTGTTGAGTCTCAATTTGACTTACATATTTTATGCAAGTTGAAATTTTGTAGTAATAATTTTGAAAATAATTTTGAAAAAAATTTTGAAAACCCCACTTACTTTATCAATACAGAGAGATCAATACTGGTGTGACTAATCGACACAGTAAACTTACTCCCATTAAACAAAAGTTCCCACCTGTAATGTTTCCACGTGTCCGCAATTCACGATTTGTTTTGTTTAAAGGATTTACGAGACTGATAACTGTTCGCTTTCTCCAACCTTTTCATTTAAAATGTGACCTCCAAATATTAACGTTTGAATGTCCACCTCAAGGACCTAACACTCTCTTATGTCTTTTGCCTTTCCCTTTGTTTTTTTTTTTAAAACATTACCAATACAAACAACACGATCGCAAAAATTTTACTTTTTCCTAGTTATAGTGATATTGGCGTCCGACTTTTACGTTTTCTGCTCACCATAATTCATCATTAAGAATTGAAGCTTGTATGTGCAAAGGAAGGAACTTTATTAGATGCTTTAGTCTTTTCCATTTATAATATCTTATTCACTGGTGAAAGTTTTCTATTCACTATTCAAAAGAAGTTTTTGTTCATCAGATTATCATTAATAAAATGCAATAAGAATTCCAAGATTGAATTTTGCTCGATATGTCTATGAATTTGTGCAGTGCTCTGATTTTAGTCATGTTTGCAGTTTTGTGATACTGGTAATAGTGAGCGGTTATTGTTCTTCGGTCTCTTCTACATCTACTATTTCTTTGTAAATCTCCAAAAGATCTGACTTGTTAATGCTCTCAATGAAGAAATCGACACGGCCCCATTTCTTGATTTTACGTGGTTCTTCACCTGCACTTTCGAAAAGAAATGCTGCCACCTTTAGCACCGGAATCTCAAACTCGTCAATCTTGAAAGTAGTTCCCCATTTCAGCTTGCATTTGGCGCACTTTATCGTGGAAATGGTGTATCTGGAGGGAGCGGTGCTCTTATCAAAGTCACAGCGAGACCGAAAGTCTGGGTTTGTCACAACGCGGTGTTGACCAACATAAATTCTCAAATCTTCGCTGTTTACTGCATCTGCATGGCATTTAAAGCAAATCAAACGGAAGGGTTTTTTGACCTTGTAGGTATCTTCTTCCGAAGAAAAGAGATCACCAACGACACGTATCTCCTCCTGGTAATTCAGAATCTTACGTCTTCGATCCTCTGGCAGCATTGAGTTGAGTCGTCTAAAGGCTTCGTACATTAACTTAGCCTTCTGTAAACTAATTTCTTCCCGCTTTTGAATGGCTTGGTCAGATATATGGGCAACTGTGGAGCTCTTTTGGCGAGCACGACCTGTTGAAGATACGATGATTTAGTATGTGTAAAATAAATCTAGATACTTTCAAACTGCATCCTTCAAAAAGTTATGAAAACCTAAAGGGCGTTTATTCTTTAAATATATCATTAATCTATGAATTCATCTGAGTTTAAATTAATAAATTTTGTATTACTATTCTAATGATATCTGATGTGGTAACAAGAAATATTTTAGGACTCTTACCACTCATCTGTATGACGTTAGCCTCGTTTCCGGTGTAGTTATAAGTTATAATAAAGTTGCAATCTGGAACATCGATTCCCTCACTGCCGACAGAGGTCGCTACCAGCACATTAAGGATTCCTCTCTTAAAGTTTTCCAAAGTTTCGTTTTTCTGGGTATCAGGCATACCTGTTTATTTTGAATTTTTCAAATCCTCAAGGCAAAATGAATAATGGCATAGAAATTAACACTATATTAAAATACTAATTATCCATGGTCCATTGATCTTTGACAATGACAAATAGAAGAAGCAGAACTTATGCTCTTAAACTTCAGTAAAATTTAGGTAATGTGAGATTCATACAAATACTCCATATCAAAAGAACAGCTTGAAGATATTCCTATTTTGAGGAATCAATCAATCAACAGAAATATTTACAAAGGTAAATAATTTTTCATAGTTATCTATTCCTCAAACTGTCCATCCATCTTTATACCTCGGCTGGTTTCTGATGAGTTTGTTCCTGTAAAAGGACCAGCCCTCAATCCTCCATTGCCCAGGGATCCCAGTTCCTGACTCAAATATTGGGCTAAGGCAAATGCTGTAGCTCTTGTCTGTACAAAAACCATTCCTTTTATCTCCTCATACTCAGTAACCAATTCCACCACTTTGTCTCTCATCAGCTTCAGATACGGGTTCATCTCAACTTTCATTTTCTCAACCTTCTTGCAAAACTCTGAAATAAATGCACGATTGAATCTGCATTGAATTAACTTGAATGCTTTCACTGATCTTTATTTTTAGAAGTGAACTTCAAGATTCGAGCATGTGTGTGTAGACAAAGGTTCTAAGGGAAGTACACCAAATCATTCGTAACTCAGTGGTGAAATACCTTAATTAAATAGTATGCATGGTACCTTGATTAAATAGACACTACACTATTTTTCAAAAAAAACCACCTGAAGTCATATTTTAATGGCAATAAAAATATAAAAGAAATATCGTGTCATCACAACTGGTAAACATTACAAAATTATCTTACCAATAATCATTAGAAGGAACTCCCTTTCCTTTTCGCTTGCACTGTCCAGAGTTTTGAGATCCTCCTCGAATTTCCTCTCCATGTGCTCGATAACATGTTCTTTATTCATCAGATAATTAACATCTAAAGCTTCATTGTATGCCTATCAGAAACAAAGATCGTTCTGAATGATGAATTTATAGTAAAAAATCACTATTTAATGATTTACGTAATATAATATACATGTAACAAGATTTAAGCAGATGTAGAAATTGGCATTTTACTTGCTCAAATATTTGGCGGACAAAACATTCCACTGCATTAACAGTAGATGAATTTTGTTTCCCTTAGGAAAAGAGCGTTTTACCTTTAATATGTCAAGAAATCCAAATATAAAAAGCAATAATTTACTATCAAAATACATTTAGATATTATTCAAAATTACTCGTTGCATAATTTTCCTTTGGTAATATCAAGTTCTTCCATATTTTTTAACAGCAGACTGATCAAAATAAACATGCATGTGCTCATTACCTACATATAAAGGAACAAAATTATTAATTTTGGAGAGCTACTACTAATCAGCTAAAATAAGATATCTTAGCACCCCGCCAAAAAAACTGCTATATGATAATTTTAAAAAAAACAAAACATTTTAACCTTTATGCTACACGAGTATCAAAACATCAGTCCTGTTTACAATTAAAAACATTTCTCTGGCAATCCTTAAAATATACTAGTAGTTTTAATACATACTGCAAGGTGAGTCATGGCGGTGTATATAACTCGCACCAGTTCTTTATTGTTTCTTAGTTTGCATGACACCTTGTTCCGGAAGTGAACAGTCCATTTTTGGTAGTGTTTTCCATCTTTCTTATCTGGTCTTTTATTCCACATAGGTAATAAGTGTTTATTATTCATCACTAAAAACATTAGATGAAATAAATACGAGATTAAATAAGCACTGTAACTAAACATTTTTGTTCAGAATTCTACAAATTGTGACAAACCATACTTGTTAGTTGAGGGTATGAACAGAAGAAATCTACATACTATATATTACTAACAGTTCATACTTTTTTCCAAAACTAGCAAAACTTGAGAAAAATGGATTTTTGAAGACTTATCATTTGCACATCAGTATAAGGCATGTTTTCTCTTGTTTGATTTTTTATCAGAATATATTGCTTAGTACAAACATTCCGTCGTTTTGATGTACGCTTCAATATGAGCAATGTTCTCGAAGATAAGAATCTTCAATGGGTCTTTTTCTTTTTGTCCCATCTTTATTGTTTCTGAAAAAAGAAAAGAAATATGAAAACGAACCTGCCCTACATTCATTACGAGGCAAGCTATTGACAAACAAGTTGATGAAACAAGTATATCAACAGTCTCGTTTGAAGTCATCATTTCGCAAGTTTTATGGTCGATACAATGACCTTGTCAGCACATACATACTTGTAATGCTGACTGACGTTTTTCATGCTAATTGTTAATCCATTATTTATACACTGAACTGTCTACGGATTTTTCCGGGGTTTTTTTTTCGATCATGACAAGGAGCACACGGCGGGTGTGACCGGTCGGCAGGGGATGTTCACTCCTCCATGACACCTGATTCCACCTCTAAATTTGAGGTCCGTGTTTGCTCTGCTCCAAATTTGTATTGTTTCATTGGACTTTCGAGATTGAATACTGTTCGCTATCTTCATATTTCATTGTACATCAATCTTCCGCAAAACAATGTTACCTTCCTTTGGTACAGCAACATGTTTCTGAAACTCCTCTAGGTTTCTCCGCACGGTGGATATCTCCAAAGTGTCCAGATTTGCGCAGATTCTAAGCATATGCTGTAACGCTCCATCCTCTGTACTGGAATCTCCTACTCCAATTGTGGCAGTCAATCCAACAATCTTTCAAAGGATTGAGATATTACTTTTTCAATCATTATTTATATGTATTCATATCGAATTAATTCATAAATATCAATATATTAAATTATAATACTGAGTTATTGTAAGTTTTTTTCTCAATTGCGTTTCATTTTTTAAAGATTTTTCAAATGATAAACCTCCCTTAGTTAATCTTTTGACATTATTTTCTTAAACATAAAATCTGTATGGAAAGAACCTGTGGGATTGTTTCTTTATTTCTTTTCCTGGCCAGATAATGCTTCATGACGTTATTGTAGGGCTCCTTTTTCCTGCTGTGGTGGCACTCATCCAGAATAAGAAGAGTTATCTCCCCAAGACTAACTCGTTTGTTGTTGATGTTGTTCAGAAGGATTTGCGGAGTCATAAAAAATACCTGGTGATCATTAATGATTAGATGCATTCCTAAGCACTCCTTTGTGGCGGTGTGAAGATGGTAAACCTAGGGGGACATAATTTGTCATATTTCTCATTCATATACATCATTTGAAAAAGAACAAGAAATTTTATGGAGGAATGTTAGAAATGGAAATAAAAAAGCATTGAGGAACATCAGGCGATGAAATGGAAATGTATATATCAAGAGCTTTAAAACAAGTTTACCTTTCTGTCTGGCAAGTACTTTTGGAATAAATTATATTGCTGTTCCACAAGGGCGTTTGTTCTTGCCAGGAAAACAACACGACCTGAAACATGGTCTTTCTAAAATGGTTTGTGTATTCGATAATTTTGATTTATATGTGCTTTTTTGTAAATAAATAATGTTTTCGTTACCGTCAGGGTTCTTCAACAGATGTTCTTTGGTGATATGTAGAGCAACCCATGTCTTTCCTGTTCCTGTATGTGCACAGATGATAGTATTTTGACCGCTGTCCGCGGTCTCCGCCAATTCTAACTGGTAAGGACGCAAATTCATTTCAGGTACTTTCCTTCTTTTCTGCGACTTTTCACTTTCTGCAAAAGGAAAATAAATATCTTTGGAAGATGTTTTGGTAACTACTTTTCAATCACACCAGCGTTATGCTAACAATAACACCTGTTGTGTCTCTAGTTGGCTGTCTATACATTCATTGTCGTATTTTTTCTATGGTGTCTATACCTTCATTGTCGTATTTTTTCTCTAGTTGTATATACCTTCATTGTCGTATTTTTCCAGGTCGGAGTTGTATTCCTCCTCTTCAGATTCTGGTTGTTCCGTCAGTGGACCAGTGTCAGAGGAAGCTAAACCTTTCTGCACAAGCTCCTCTAGATAAGGTGAATAGGGAATCAGATAAATTATCTTTACCATTTCCCATACCTTCTGTTCGTGTTTTAATTCAACAATAACGTTAATAATATTAGAAAGACATTTTTATTGCACACACAGCTAAAAAACAGTTCATTAACAATATACCATTGGTTGCACCGGGATCTAACTTGGTCAGCAGGTTAGGTTGTGTCTGTTTCAGGGCATTAAACAATGCTACAGCCCAGTCCTTGTGCTTCTTTTTGATTCTTCTGACCATTTCTTTGCAGGCCTCAGATCTGTCGCCTACCTGAAGAGAGTTGAGATACTGTTGGTCCTTTACTTTAAGGTATCCCTTCTCTAGCAGTATTGGAATCAGAGAAGCAGCGTCGATCTCATTCATCAGGTCAGGTTTTGTCATCTTAATAAGGAATTCCATAAATTCTGTCGTGGCTGTCTGGTCACTTTCGTCAGCATTTTCATAACTTTCTACTAATCTCTGGTAACCTAGAAACAGGAAATTAAAATACATATACAACAAACATAGAAAACCTGATGAATCAACCAGTAAACATGATGCATAACGCATACATAGTAAGGTACGTTATTAGGTTATACCTAATATGGTATCAAGTTTTAGTAAACCTAATAAGGTATCAAGTTGTAATTGCACTGTTGTTGATCTTGTGCCTAACTATATTATAAAAATAAGACATTAAGGTTTACATTTAAAATTTTTCTTTACTAACAGGCTACAATATTGTGCCCTTGTACTTATTTTAAGCAAGTAACTACATACAAACCGTTTTCACAATATATTTCAATAACACCATGAAGAAAGTTATGTTTATTTTTTTTTAACAACGTATAGTTTGATACTTTTAGCACATTGAAGTTTTCTTGAATTTTGTGTTAATTTTTACCTTCAATGTTTATCTAAAAATTTATTATAAATTATTCACTTTACGTTTGTCTGTTTGTTTGTTGTTTAACGTCCCTCTCGAGAATTTTTCACTCAATAGAGGCGCAATTATTCACTTTAAAAATATCGTATAAATAATTTTTTTTTGAAAATCATAGCCTTGCTGTCGGGTTTCGATGTAAATCTAGTGTGTTATTGCCATTCATACGTGTGGGACAAACGTACCCTCCTCCCGAAATGCATTCACCAATATGTTTATATTCTCGTTCCTAACGGTAGTATCATCATGCTTCAATACTAGATCAAGGAAGGAAAGGCATGCATCTTCTCTTTTACCATTCTTCTGAAGCTGTTCTATCGTGTAAATATCGTCATCTTCAAAAACAAAGAAAATGTCTTAAATATTAATGGTATTACGCAAAGTGCTTTAAGCGGATCAGAAGCCTTCAAGTTGCGTTCAGAGTTCGCCATTTGTAACCAACGGTAAGCTAGGTCACCAACAACAAGTTCGGTGAACGTACTTTCGAATTGAAATAAGGTCACCAAATCTACCATCAGAGAAATGAAATAGTGAATTATTTCTCTGTTAAATGCCCTTTGCTTAGCTTCGAAGAATAAAACTGATTACATGTTTCAAATTTTAATTGTTTACCAGTTTTTAATATTCAGAAAATTTATACACTTCTTATATAATCTGCCACACGTTCTAAATCCGGACATCTTTAATTTAACAGCTGTTTAATTTACCATTAAGTGCTGGAAAGTAGTCCAATATATCAGTCGGCTCTAGGTGCTCCACTACGTCTGTGACAAACTTCTGTGTTATATTTTCCTCCATTATTAAGGTAAAATAAAACGAAAAAGAAAGTATTCAGTGTTTTCTGATAATCAGAATTACGCAATTTATTTATTTTTATAATAGGTGGTTTCCTTGCAATGAACATTTCTATTATTAGCAATCAGTCCAGTCAAAATCTCTATGTTTCAAAGCTTGATAGGAACATACATACATGTAAGATATCGATTTTTGCAATTGGAATTACGTTTAATTCTTTAAAATTATTTTTGCATTTCGTTTTTAACTAACGTTTTTTTTTTTAATTCTATGGCTTTTTACTGATTGTTACTCTGATCTTTTGCATCCCCCTTTTTTATTTTCTTTCTTTTTTTTCCATTGTTTTATTTTCCGCATTCATTTCAGTATAAATGCTCCAAAAATTTACTAGTTTATGACAGTATAGTTATTGCTTTTGTCGTCTTCTCTTAATTCTGAGACTCACATTTGTAAAATGAAATATGGAAATAACGAATAGTAATCAAGCTCAAGCTCAGAAGTCCGTTGAAATAATACCAATCGTGAGCAGAGCAAACACGGATCTCTAATAACATCAGAGGTGGGATCAGGTGCCATGCAGGAGTAAGCGTCCCCTGTCGATCGGTCACAGCTGCTGTGTGCTCATTCTCAGGATCGGACAAACTGAAAAACCCATAGACAATTCAGTGTTTAAAGAATGGCTTAACAATAAGTATGAAAACCGTCAGTCAGCATTCGACTTCATGATTGAATGTCTTTGCTGACAAGAAATTCCGAAATAATGACTTCAAAAGAGACTGTTTATGTTGATATCCTTGTTTCAACTTGTTTGTCAATAGCTTACCTCGTTTAAAAAATTGTTCGTACGTGGATCATGATCTTGCATATCGATTCAGCTTGGAGATATAAACCCCATATGCAGACGAAAAGGGTATTTTGCTACATAAGTAAGGGAAGCCCTTGAAGTCACCACGTTTATCATAAAGCTTTGTTGTTAGGTTACCATTAACATCTTTTTCTAGTAAAATATCTAAATGAACAGATGTGTAAGGCTCTGTGGTATCTTTTATTTCAAGTTCACTGGGATATATCGAGTCGACATATGAATGGAAGTAACTCTTGTAAATTGATAAGAGGCCTTCACTAAATGTCGAGTTGAAGGCCACAGCAAGTGTATTCTTCTTCTCATGTATAAGATTTTTAATGAATTCTGCGTCATATGAATACAAAAAATAGGTCTGCTAATAACGGGGCAAAAGCCTGGACTTTAATTTATCGTGGGGAATAGCTGTATATAGAGTTCAAAAGTTTTGACAGGCAGGATTGATGATTAATAAAAATCTTGATTTCCTCAAAAACCTTTTTGTTTTATTTTTGAATGAGTGAACATGAAATACATCAGAACACAGATGTTTATACATGTAACTAAAACTAACTTGTCAGGCGAATTGGATCTATTGAAGGAATAATATCGTTAGTTTTTAGTCACTACAGAAATAATTTCACTACCGGAAATAATAACTAATACAAGTGGTTTATATTAAGATGCAGTAATCGATTTACAAAAACACACACAAACACACTCATACAAACAGAAAAAGCATCACGGCAGCGGAATATAAACTTACTTATAATGGAAACTTTATTTTATTAATAAACATCAGAATAAGTTTAAGACAAAAAGTAAATTTTATATCTCTATTCATCTGTACAGAAATTCGTCGATTAACTATTTGAGTCAAAGACAAACAAACTCTCAAAATTTATGTTGAATCTTTAGTAGATTTCAAGTCGGTCAGAGGTCGATCTCGGGTTAAGAGAAATATTTTATGTTTTGTTATTCTGGGTGAGGCGTGCACGCGCGCGCGCGTTTGTGTGTGTGTGGGGGGGGGGGGGGGGAGGGGGGAGGGATTGTTAAGTAAAATTGTACAATGACTATCTTGACTTTTCATTTATCAATTAACAGAATTGATTAGAAAAAAGTATGTGAAAATAAAGCATTACTCAGCAAAAAAATTATCGGTGAAAAACGACACTCATCAAAAACACTTTTTATTAATCGTTAGAAAGAGAAAAAGTAAATGTTTGATTGTATGTTGTTTAACGTCCCATTCGAGAATTTTTTACTCATATAGAGACGTCACCATATACCGATGAAGGGCTTCAAATTTTGACCTTTACTCGGCACTCAGGGCCATTTAGCAGTGAGGGATCTTTATCGTGACACGGGGCCTCGGTTTTTAAGGTCTCATCCGAAGGACCCTCAACTTTCACTTCAAAGTGCCAAGCACATGGCGAAGGAACAGGACTCTGGTCAGTCGCGGCCGAGATTGGCACTCACGACCTCCCGATCACAGAGCGCTCTTCCGACTGAGCTGCCGTGAACGATAGAAAAAGTAAAGCCCGTGTACTAAATATTCAACCGAAGTTCTTGCAATGACATTCCGTCCTCTTTACCTCCTTCAGAGGTTTATTTAGCACACGAAACAAACTTCGTGTTAACTCAGTGCTTTTGCACTAAATCAACAGTTCTGACGAATATAAATGAAAATAAAAAAGAATAATTTGTAGTGTTTAATAGGTTAGAAATAAACAAATAGTCATTTTTCCTCATCAAAGGGCCTTATTCTTCACTCAAAACAAATATGTATTACCATAGCACAGTTACTGAAACCTGACATTTTCGATATAGATGATAAACATATAACGTGAATAATTTATAGTTTGATAATAAAAAATCAAATATAAACGTTTGTACATCGTTTTTGGACATTCGTACTAAGACCTGCAAATATGTGTGTTAAATCTGTAGATAGACTTATAGCTCTATAAATCTCACACAAATAAATTCAATAACAGAAATGTCGGAGGAAAAAAGTGGAAAAATGCAACTTTTCTTATTTCATTTGTTCTTTACCTGGCTTCGACGACAAACTTTGAAAAAATAAAATATTGGATGTACAACTAGGGTTGGTGATTTTTATTTCTGTAAAGTCTACGAGAACACTAGAGGACTAAACTAGGGTGAACTTTCGTCCCGGTGGCTGAAGCGATAAAACTGCAATCGAATCCATTTTTGGGGAAAACCACTTTGATACTGTAGAAGGAATAAACCATTAAAGTTTCCAAAGGATTGCTTGCGTAGTTACAAAGAAAAATAGAAATTAAAGAATTTTTCACTTTTCGTCCGTTTCCATAGCAACGGTAGGAATTTAGAAAACTTTGAATGTTGACTGCACACCTAGAGTTTCTAATTATAATATCTGTAAAGTTTCATCTAGATTGTCCAAGCCACCTCTGAGAACATATGTGTGTATGATACTTTTTTCTGTTTTGTTTCTATGTAAACTGTGTGCGACAAATTCCAGGTTTGTTTTTAAAATAGAAATCTCTTTGACACATGCAAAGAATTATCCTACAAAGTATCAAAATAATTGCGTGAGCAGTTACTGAGAAATCCGAAGTTAAAGAATTTTCACTTACCCTCTGTTTTCATGGCAACGATTTGCAATTTGAAAATTTTAAATGTGAATCGCACAACTACAATTACTGATCATCATTTCTGTAAAGTTTCATGATGAATGTTCAAGGGACCAGAGAGAACACTCCCGGACAAAATTAATCAATTATCGAACGTTTCCATGGCAACGGTAGCCATTTTGAAACTGAAAGTCTTCATCGCACAAGTACATCTAGTGATCGTCTTTTGTGGAAAGTTACAGGAAGATTGCCCCAGTCATGCCGTCCTACTTCGTTCGGGGCGACATAATAATTTTGAAAATTTCAGTCTTCAGTAAAACAGCTTAATTTTTTGCGTGAAGTTTTTTGATAGTCAACGTTATCGTTGTCTGGTTCTCTACACAGGATATACCTAAGTTGCTACAAAAAATTGTGACAAAATCTTATGCTGTTGATTACAGCATATATATGCTGCTGATTAAACTCACGCTCAGTCCTGATATACAGTTTTGCTTTCGCGAAAGCGAGGGGACATTAAATCTCATTCGTCTGTCAGTCTGCTTGTCTGTCTGTCAGTCTGTCCGTCTGTCAGTCTGTCACAAAAACTTTAACCTTGATCATAACTTTTGAATGAGAAAGATAGGGCTTTCATATTTCACATGTACATTACCTTTGACAAGACATTTCCAAATATACTATGATTTTTGACTCTGTGACCTTGACCTTGAAGTTTAACCTATTTTTCAATATATTTAACATAACTTTAAATTAGTCATGACTTTTGAATGAGAAAAGATAGGGCTTTCATATTTGGCATGCACATTACCTGTGACAAGACCTTTCCAAATACACTATGGTTTTGACCCGGTGATCTGACCTTGAAGTTTGACATACTTTTCAAAAATTTCATCTTTGATTATAACTTGAGAAAAGATAGGGCTTTCATATTTTTGATATGTGCATTACCTGTTACAAGATGTTTTCGAGCAAACTATGATTTCTTACTCCTTGACCTTTACCTTCATGCTTCACCTTATTTTTTTTTTTTTTTAAACTTTATTGATTACTTTTGAATGATGTAAGCTAAGGAATTCATATTTGACAAGTGCGTTACCTGTGTCAAAATGTTTCGGAATGTGCTATGATATTTGACCCTGTGACCTTGGCCTTCACGTTTGACCTAATTTACAAAAAAAAATTACATTGCTGATAACGTTTGATTGAGAGAAGATATGGCATTAACATTTGACAAATCTTTGCCATAACTGTTATTTATTCAATTTTTTTTGTATGATGCACAGACAAGACAGGACACACAAACAAGACAGTTACAATATGCCATAAATAAAAGCATCCCATCCACTCAGACACGGAAAGCGGGGAATCACAATTCTTTGAATTTGTTTGTTTAGCTCACATGGGTTTTTGCACAAATTAAGGTCACATTCTTCTTGTGAAAAAAATTAACATTATCTAACTTCAGTCAGGGTTAGGGTTAGACAGAACACACAAACAAGACAATTACAATATGCCATAAATAAAAGCATCCCATCCACTAAGACACGGAAAGCGGGGGACCACAATTCTTTGAATTTGTTTGTTTTGCACAAATTAAGGTCACATTCTTCTTGTATTAAAATTAACATTATCTAACTTCAGTACGACAAAATAACCCTGAGATGTATTTGATATCCCGTGTCAAGGGTACACACCCTTTAAAATCATTATCATAAGTTTTAAAGTCAATGTTCTAAAGTTGATTTTATCGATAAATGGTTCGATGTAACAACTATGTGATTCTAAAATAGGTATTTACATACTGAATTGTCGACAAGGAGCACACGGCGACTGTGACTTGTCGACAGGGGAGGTTCACACCTCCATGACACCTGATCACACCTGTGATGTCTTAGAGGTCCGTGTTTGCTCTGCTCCTATTTTGTAATGTGTAATGGACTTTTGAGCTAGAATACTGTTCGTTATCGCCACATATTTCATTTACAAATTAAATTAATTAATCGAGCTCTCTTTGATATTATTTACTTGAAATTTTTTAACTGACTTCTTAAAGATGAGTATTTTTTCTGAGTACTTTGCTCATTTACCATACTCGTCTTGATTTTGTCGAAAATGTAGCGCTGAAAAAGCGTAAAAACCATGCCAATAGGTAGGATAATGAAGTATTGCTTACCTTTAAAAATAGTAAATCCTTACTATTGAAAATAAAATTCTTTTACATTTCTAATTTTTTATGCCCCCGTATCGAAGATTCGGGGGTATATAGTTTTTGCACTGTCCGTTCGTCTGTCTCTCTGTCTGTTTGTCTGTTTATCAGTATGTCTGTTTGTCTGCAAAAACGTTAATATTGCTCATAACTATTGACTGGTTGGAGCTATAGCTTTCATATTTCACATGTGTATTCCTTTCTTTGGGAACCATCATATTATACCTTTTGGCTTTGACCTTGGAGTTTGACCCAGTTTTACAAAATTTTACCCAACTTTAACCTTGGCCATAACTTTTGAACAGTTGGTGCTAGGGCTTTCATACTTCACATGTGTAATTCTTGTGACAAGACTTTCCTTTGGATACCAACAACTTTAACCCTTTGACCTTGACCTAGGAGTTTGACCTACTTTTGAAAAAAACTTTAACCTTGGCCATAACTTTTTATCAATTTGGTGCTAGGGCTTTCGTACTTCACATTTGTAATCATAGTGACAAGACCTTTCTTTGGATATCAACAACTTTGACCTTGATCTTGGAGTTTGACCTCCTTTTGAAAAACTTTAACCATGGCCATATCTTGAACGGTTGGTGCTAGGGCTTTTATATTTCACATGTGTATTTCTTGTGATAAGACCTTTCCTTGGGCACCATTAATTTTGCCCATTTGACCTTGACCTAGATGTTTGACTTACTTTTGAAAAACATTAACCTTTTCCATATCTTTTCAATGGTCTCTGCTATGACTTTCATATTACACAGGTATATTCCTCGGGACAAGACCTTACTTTGGGTACCAACACATTTGATTTGCATTTGAGAAAGTTTAACCTTTGTTATGAGTTGTATACGGGGTCAGCAGTGTTTCACAAACACATCTTCTTTAATTTTGTAGTGGAACGAATCTCTCATATGATGCTAGATTTCAGAAAGTAATTCTGAAAACTTCAGCTTTTTAACATAGAAAGCAGTCAAACAGCTGAAAAATATTGTTATCTTGCGCTATGGACTCATGGTGTTATGGTGTTAATGTACAGAAAATACAAGTTAAAAGTCCTGTACTGTGTTTGTGTCTAGGCAAGGGAAAAAAAACACCCATAGTCAAGAGAGAATCTTCAAGAATTTAGCATTGCAGGAAAAACGATTCATTGCGAGAGTTGAAGAAAAGGATTCTAAATGACACATATATCCTTAAGTAAGTAAAACAGCAATTCCATAAAAGTTATACGGAAGAGTAAAACGAAGAACAACGTTTATGCAAAAAAGCTACTGCTTTCAAAGGAACGGATAAAAGACCACAAAAAACATTTGGAAATTGTTATAATTTTATGTTTCTAGTTACTGTTAATGAAATAAAAATAAAATAAGACAAACAATAACTTTTAATTATATTTTGTTGTCTCTTCACACAATATCGCTTGTACTAATTTGACTTCAATTTGTGCGAAAATCCATGTGAGTTTAAAAGTATAGACTTCCAAATTGGTCACATGATCAAAACACAGCAATGAATAATTGTCCTTTCTTGCACATCTCAGAACTACTTTACGTACATTTTGTTTAACTCAAAGAAAGTAATTTCGCTAAAAATTCCTTTCTACGTGTAAGGTGAGAGCATTAATTATATTTGATATGCTTTAAAATTAAGTACATCAAACAATTTGTAATAAAACGGGCACACACAATCCAAATTACAATACAGGACAATAATACGTACACATTAGTTCTCGCTACACATTCAAGTTCCAAAACGTTTCATCAAATAAATCAAATATTAGTTCACAATTCTGGAATTAATTGACAAGTTAGTGTGTTATGAGTATTTGATGACACGGACTGTTATTTTGAACAAGATAATGTTTATGTCAAGTGACTTTTTCCTTCGTAAGAAAGATGGCAGGCGCCGAATGTACTACATGTGTTAAAATTCCAAAACAAGTAAATGAATTACAGACTTTTACAGACCACTAACATCACTGTAATAGATTAAATTAACAAGTCTGTGGATAATAGGCAATATTCTGAAGTCCACCCAGAAACATATTACATGGTGGCAAACCACTATAATCAAGGACGTATATACTAACTAGTGTATACGTCCATGCTATAATTGAAGCTGAATCCCCTTTTGCATTATATTCTGATAAGAGTGCTAGGTCCCTATACTACACAGTTAAAACGATACATTGCACTGAAAATTTATTTTAACTATATTTTTCTTTCACTTCCTGTCAGTGGGTAGGCGATAAATGCAAACGCTATTTATCGCTGGTCAGAGGAAACGCGGTCTGAGACAGACAAACAATAAAAAAAAATTGAAAATTGAATCAGGTAAGACAGTCGAGTTTCACTTTCCAGGATCGATTTGTCATTAAATCTAGGGCTGTTGCTATGTTTTCTGTAAAACCAAAATGTAATTGAACTTCAATCAATCGCTTTTCGGTAGAATCATCTGTTTTTGAAAACAGAGCAAAAATCTGACCGATTTTCTTGCAGTCTTCATCGGTGCAATAAAGAACTTTGCTTTTCGACTGATATATCTCCACATAAGCTGAAGAAGAACTGGAGGAACCAAATGTCTTCTTTATTACAGTTTTCCCTATTTCTAACTCCTGGTTCTCCTCTACCATACAGTCAAAACAGTCTGAACACACTTCCTGTCCGTCCTCCCTGGTGTATTTATGATTTCGAGGATGTACATCTTCAATAAAAGGGAGATCAGTAGCAACTCCATAATACGCTTTGCTTTTCCGTAAGATGCCTTGGTTACCAATAATTGGTGGGAGTTGAAATCCCTGTTCTATCGATTTCCGTATCAGATTCTCGGGACTATGTCCGAACAACACTGCTCCTTTCATCACAGCTGTGCATCCTTCACGAGGATTTATTACTTTCTTATGCGGAAAGTGACTCTTAATTTTGCTTTGCAATAACGGACACTCAGAGAATCCACCAACTAGTAAAATAACATTAATTTCAGAAACATCTTTGTCTGTAAAAAGATTCTGCAAATGACTTATTACATCTTCTATTGGACGGTTGAACACAGTTTCAGCTAAGAAGCTCTCATCAAACCTCAACTTGGCTTTACTGAACGGTTTTATTTTCTTCTTTAAACCCAATGTATGTATTTGAGAGGAAACCGACTTTCCGGTATTTGTGAATTCAGAAAAAAGCTCTCCCAGGTTTGAAAAAGTTACTGATCCAACATTTTCCAGTTTTGGATTTTCCAGTCCAATACCGCGTTTCTTTGCTTCGAAACTTCGTAACAATTCCAACCAATCAGACGGCGATTTGCTCTTGAAGTTGTTCACAGTTTCCTCCCCAAATATTTTGTATATTAGATCAAAGAAGAGTTTGTCTACATTTGTTCCCCCAACAGCGTCCCCAGAAGCACAGTGCAACTCTCTCAAGTTACTGTTCTCTTTAACCTCATACGCTGTTACATCAACAGTACCACCTATAAAACGCAGACCATGTGACTCAACAATGATGATTCTTTTTTTTAATTGATATGTAGCTTTTTTTGACAACGATTTCGATATTGTAAAGCTGGCTTTTTTTAATAGTTTAAATAATTTCCAATTTTGAATTAGCTTGAAAAGGGTGAACATTAATTCCTAAAATACAATCCTTACCTCCACAGTCCACCACCATGAACTTGTTTCCAGGGTCGAACATCCTAACATTAATATCCTCAGCTGCCTTTGTTAAGGCCAACTGTTTACAGAGTAGAGCTGCAGACTCTGGCTCCAAAGCAAGAACCAAATGGTCATCCTGTATGCCAGCCTTCAACATCAAAACAATACTTAAGTACAGGTCTCTGTAAGAATCAGGCAAAAGGTGAATCATGAGGGTTCTCAGAATTTGATGATTTTCAACACATAGATTTCTCTTGTGCTATGAACCATGTATGCAAAGTGAAAAAAGTTTTGGGTCATGGTTACTATGGAAACATGACAAAAGAAATTTCCTTGGCAACCAGTCAATTTTCCATGTGTATGGACAAAAAAATCACTAATCTTTAGGGCTTGAAATTTGTTGTGAATATTTAATAATTTCTTCTCATTTATTCTTATCGTAAAGATAAACATTTAAAGTGTTTTCACAATGCATTACATAGAAATAAGATTTTGAGATATATCTGTACTAGACATGGGTAGATATGCATGTTTTGTGTTTTTTCTGATTCAACATTTTTGTTGATTTTGGTACTTTTCAAAGCCTTATTACTCAAACTTCTGGCGTAATACAGGAGTCGCAAGTATTTCGCATAATAGCAGAGGAATGTCTCTTTTGGACTTTATATTCAAAAAGGTGTGTTTTTTTTAAAATTCCAATCCGTTGCCTAACAACAAAAATGGATGTTTTGATAAATAAAAATGGAAAATCGTACAATTTGAACATTATTAATCTAATAATTTGTTATCTGAGAGTATAAAAACACAGTGTAAAGTAAGAAAATATATCTGAGACACCTTTGCAAACCAAGAAATATTGTAAAGATACTTATCTCCATGGCAACCACAAATTCTCCATAGCAACAAAGCAAATAAAGTCACTTTCGGCAAATATTTATGAACAATTATAAAATATTAATCCACAGTTTGGTAGCATATTGCGATTTATCAAATTTGATTTTGTAATAGATGTCTTAGCAAAGTACATTTTTATAATTTAGCCCATTTTTATACTTTTAACCCATGGTAACAACATTTGAGCACATAAGAACCAAAATATGTTATGGAGAGTTACTAACAATTTTCTGTAACAACTTGAACTTTTTTTGGCACGCAAGGTCACCGATTATCATGAAACTTTGCTCGTTATAATAGTTACAATTATAAAAGTTTGACAACAGAATTGTAAATCAAGCAAAGTTTGGTTGTCATGGTAACAGACAGGTTGATTTCAATAAAATTTAGATTTTCGGCTTCTTTGAATCTTTATTGACCCTTCACAAGCACTTCGAAAACCAAATTGGCCTTTTACATATAAAAAAAAACCAATAAACCTTGTTGCCACTTATTATGTAAAGAAAGTATTTGGAATAGATCTCTATATAGGTGGTAACCATGGTTACACTCGGCATACATTTTATATGCAGAAAAACGCTCAGTATTATCTTATTATGGGAGCAATATTATTCTAACAATGAAGATATCAGTTGCCGAGATGACACAGCATAGTTAGACATGAGCCTAAGTTATAACCCAGCAAACAAAGATTGGGGTATAAAGGAATCACCTGTCTGTCTGTCTCTGTGTCTTTTTGTCCATGCAATCATGTCCGGGTCATAACTTTGTAATGCTTTGTAATCTAGAAACAATACATTACAAGTTCATTCTTGAAAAAAAAATAAGGTTAATAGTCTGAGGGTGTATCTTGACTTTTTACCCAAGGTCATTTCAGCTAGTTCAAGGTCACTAGCAGTTAAAAGTATAAAATTCGTGTCTGGTCTATAACTGTCTTTTTCTGTATTGCTGCTTGAAATTGGTTTAGCGGTTCTAGAGAAGAAGTTGAAAATGTTCAAAAGTTAATGCACGACGGACGACACACGACGACAGACAAAAACGGATAGCAATAGGTCACCTGAGTGACTCAGATGATCTAAAAAGTTGTTAAGCCATGTAATTAACCATAAATTTAGGGGGTATAAGCAACAAGAGGCCCATGGGTCACATCGTTCACCTGAGCACTGTGGCTGGGAAAAAAGCAAAAATCAGTTCAGAATTGAAAAACTTTAATGCATAAGTGGTCCTGACCTACCCTCTAAAAGGGAATGGGGGTATGATTTGAACAAAATTGAATCTACACTAACTAAAGATGCTTACATATTTCTTTGTCTGTGACTTTTTTCCTACAAATTTGAACTTTCGTTATGGTCCCACCCTACCCCCGGGGGTCATGGTTTGAACAAATCTGAATCTACACTATCTATTATGACCAATCATAGCTTTGCTGTTCTTGAGAAGATTTTTTTTTTTTAAAATTCCTATGTATTCATATACATAACTTTAATTGCCAATTGTAGTCCCACCCTAACCCCAGGGGGCCATCATTTTTTTTCAAACATGAATCTACACTAACTTAGGATACTTCCGAATAGTTAATAACCAATCATGGCTTTGCTGATTTTTTTTTTCTATATATTCCTATGTAAAACTTTTATCGTCCATTGTGACCCCACCCTACCCTAGGGGGGTGGGTTATGATTTGAACATACTTAAATCTACACCACCTGAGGATGCTTTCATATAAATTTGACCACTCATAGCTTTGCTGTTCTTGAGAAGAAGATTTCTAAAAAAAATTCCTATACCCCTATGTAAAACTTTCATCGTCCATTGTGGCCCCACCCTATACCAGGGGATCAAGATTTGAACAAACTTGAATCTACACCACTTGAGGATGCTTCCATATGAATATGACCAATCATGGCTTTGCTGTTCTTGAGAAGAAGATTTTTAAAGATTTTTCCTATAAATTCTTATGTAAAACTTTTATCGTCCATTGTGGCCCTGCCCTAAACCCGGAGGTCATGATATGAAAAAAAAAATAGAATTTACACTACCTGAGGATGAATCCACACGAGTTTCATCTTTCCTGGCCCAGTGGTTCTTGAGAAGAAGATTTTTGAAAGATGCCATTAATTTTCACTAATTTGTAATTATCTCCCCTTGGAAGAGGGCGTGGATCTTCATTTTAACAAACTTGAATTCCCTTTACCAAAGGATACTTTGTGCCAAGTTTGGTTGAAATTGGCCCAATAGTTCTGGAGAAGAAGATGAAATTGTGAAAAGTTTACGACAACAACGACGACAGACAATTTTCAATCAGAAAAGCTCACTTGAGCCTTCGGCTCAGGTGAGCTAAATATTCAAACATTGTTTCATTTCTTACCATGTCAATCAGTCTCCCTAACCAAAAATATTATGCTTCTTGTCAGTTTGTCTCTATATATAATCAATACCCATCTATTTTCGCATAGTGTTCTAAGAGTTTATAAGGCGTAAGCATACTATGCCGTAATAGTGCACGGCTTCTTTTTCTAAAGAAAATCCGACATCACCCACGCCAGGGATCGAACTCACGATCACGAGATTGTCAGTCCGACGTGCTACTACCGACATGACGCCATTATCAAACACTTATTTTTATGTATATAAACCTAGTTTCAAATATTTGACACTTAAAAGAAAACAAAACTTTTTTTTAAAAAAATAGTTTCTTAAAATTTTTTATCCCTTTATTAAATTAAGGTTCTTTGAAATTTTCTTTACATTATACCTAACTGCATGAAACACTCAAAATTATGACGTAATTGTTTCACATCGTGACGTTATAATAGGGGTATCCCAGCATGTTAGTGAGGGGTGATGAAACGTTGGAAATCGAAAAAAATATTTTTGCTTTTATACAACAGTCAGCATAATAATAACAATAGTGTTGTGGTTTGCATGCACCTCCGGCTTGTGCACCATGTATCAAACCCTGACTACTTTTTAGGCATAGTGCATGCAAAGCACATTACTATTACATAAATCAAACGCTTGAATCCATACTTTTCAAAACTTATTTCCCTTGGTCGCCATCTTTGAGGAAGAACCAGTAGAACCCTCACAGTAGGCTTTGTAGTTTTCTGGTTTGTATTTTTGTCATTTGACTAGAAAAAATGTTTTCTTCTATACTAATTGCCACAGGATAAGGCTACCCATACATTGAAGGAAAAGAATTTAAACACAATTGATGCATCGGAGCACGCCCATATATTTGGTAGGAAAAAGTCGTTTTTTCCCTTTTGACCTTTTGGTTGACCCCTCAAAAGGACACAACTTTTGCAAAGTATGGATTAGATTATTCACCAAAGTAATGTGGAACAGCCTATTAATGTCCCCAGTTCAACATTCCAAAATTATACATGTTGATACAAATTAATAAGGAGAATATTAGTGGTCCTGATATGATATCTACACTTAAGCTTTTAACCTAAAGTGACATTGAACATTGCCGGAATGACCTTGGATCAAGGCAACAACATACCTAGAGGCCATGTGTAATATTTTTTGTGAAAAATGAACGTTCAATAATTTTTCAATTAAAGAGCTGTGAACAAGAAATGAACTTGATACTTTTCCTGGAAACGGCATTGACCTTGCCAAAATGATCTTGAATAAATAAGAAGACACAACCCTGAGTCATTAGCAATATTTGTGTCAGGTATGGGCTTCCAGTGTTTAATCATTTCAAGATGTAGATAGGGCACAATGTATACATTTTTTAAATAGATCATGAACCTGATCAAATAACCTTTCGTCAAAATCATGACATACTTTAAGGTCATAATCAATTTTTCTATGAAGTATGGACATCCAATACTTTCCATTAGAAAATTACCGTAGACCTGGCACAAATTTAACATTTTTTTTCTGCCAGTGATTTTAACTTGCTAGAATTATCATGGGTCAAGACCATGACACACTCTTTGTTCACATGCAATCTATACCAAAAATGAACTTCGAAATGGCTCTCCATTACAAAGTTATGTGGCCTGGACACATATTTTAAACCTTTTGTTGAAGTGACCTTGATCTTACTGGAATGACCTTGGGTTAAGGTTTGAACATACCAATGGGGCATAAATCTTTTTGTGAAGCATGAGCTAACAATATTTCGAAATGTGGTCAGGACACGAATTATACATTTATCTGTAAAGGACCTTGAACTTGATCATCTGACATGGAATGAAGAACATGATTCACCTCTTAAACAATCTCTGTATGAAGTATGAATATCCGATGTGCCTCCGTAAGAAAGTTATAGACCAGACAAATTTTACACTATTTACTGCCAACGACCTTGAACTAGCTGAAATGACCTTGGGTGAAACGTTAAAGTCAAAATTCAAGCTCAGATTATAAACAATCGTTTTATCAAGAATGAACTTTCAATCTTTCTCCATTACGAAATTATGTCCCCATCATGATTGCACAGACACAGACAGACAAAGTGATTCCTTTATACTCCAGTAACTATGGCACAAATGATGTGTTATCATGGCAGTCCATATTTTCATTGTTAGAATAATATTGCTAAAACTTCTTTTCATAAGGTAAACTATTTTTATTGTTTCTTTATCACTGGCGATAAAGTAAGTCATGTAACTCCCATAATAAGATAATACTGAGCGTTTTTCTGTATATAAAATGTATGCCGAGTGTAACCATGGTTACCACCTATATAGATTTATATTCCAAATACTTTCTTTACATAATAAATGGCAACAAGGTTTATTGTTTTTATTTTTATATGTAAATGGCAAATTTGGTTTTTTGAGTGCTTGTGAAGGGTCAATAAAGATTCAAAATAGCCGAAAATCTAAATTTTGTTGAAATCAACCTGTCTGTTACCATGACAACCAAGGCACATAGCAACCAGACTTTGCTTGATTTACAATTCTGTTGTCAAACTATTATAATTGTAACTATTATAACGAGCAAAGTTTCATGATAATCGGTGACCTTGCGTGCCAAAAAAAGTTCAAGTTGTTACAGAAAATTGTTAGTAACTCTCCATAACATATTTTGGTTCTTATGTGCTCAAATGTTGTTACCATGGGTTAAAAGTATAAAAATGGGCTAAATTATAAAAATGTACTTTGCTAAGACATCTATTACAAAATCAAATTTGATAAATCGCAATATGCTACCAAACTGTGGATTAATATTTTATAATTGTTCATAAATATTTGCCGAAAGTGACTTTATTTGCTTTGTTGCTATGGAGAATTTGTGGTTGCCATGGAGATAAGTATCTTTACAATATTTCTTGGTTTGCAAAGGTGTCTCAGATATATTTTCTTACTTTACACTGTGTTTTTATACTCTCAGATAACAAATTATTAGATTAATAATGTTCAAATTGTACGATTTTCCATTTTTATTTATCAAAACATCCATTTTTGTTGTTAGGCAACGGATTGGAATTTTAAAAAAAACACACCTTTTTGAATATAAAGTCCAAAAGAGACATTCCTCTGCTATTATGCGAAATACTTGCGACTCCTGTATTACGCCAGAAGTTTGAGTAATAAGGCTTTGAAAAGTACCAAAATCAACAAAAATGTTGAATCAGAAAAAAACACAAAACATGCATATCTACCCATGTCTAGTACAGATATATCTCAAAATCTTATTTCTATGTAATGCATTGTGAAAACACTTTAAATGTTTATCTTTACGATAAGAATAAATGAGAAGAAATTATTAAATATTCACAACAAATTTCAAGCCCTAAAGATTAGTGATTTTTTTGTCCATACACATGGAAAATTGACTGGTTGCCAAGGAAATTTCTTTTGTCATGTTTCCATAGTAACCATGACCCAAAACTTTTTTCACTTTGCATACATGGTTCATAGCACAAGAGAAATCTATGTGTTGAAAATCATCAAATTCTGAGAACCCTCATGATTCACCTTTTGCCTGATTCTTACAGAGACCTGTACTTAATTGTGTTACAATGTGAACTTTGATGCTAAACAATTATACCTGAATTGCTGCTTCTCTCATAAACTGTTTGGCTTCGTCAGACCAGATGGCAGGAACTGTGAGTACCCATAAGATATCAGCAGACCACGTGGAATGTTTTACTTTTATATCTGTGCTCATATTCTTAAGCGATTTGTCTTCTTGTTCAGGATAAATAGAAGGCTCCCATACGTCTTCAGAATTCTGTGAACTCTGACTATCGTCTGCTGAATCATCTGTTGCATTGGTAGGAGTTCTGGTTTTTTCGTCATGTCGCAATGTTGTTTTCTCCAGTAAGTCTTCAAAATGGCTTTTGAGAAATCTTATGGCCTCTGAAAATACTTTCAAGGCCGATAGCTTTCTCCCATTCTCTGCTTCCAATTTTAGATTTTTTAACCTCTTTCTTCTCTAAGAAGAACAAACAAATAAACAGAAACAATAAATGAAAGACAAAATGATCATGAAATAGTGCTACAATTTACAATTGCATCATTGGGGAAAACACAGACTGCTTTAATATCACCTTTCGGGTAAATATTGACATTCTAGCCCAAAACTTATGATATATTTTTTTTCCTTTCTTCAGCATATTCCAAGAAAAAAAATTGAGTCTAATTTTTGTTCAAGATTAAGAATTTCGTTAAGAGTAATTGTTCTGTTCAAATGTCAGACGTCCTAAATTCCCACTATAGCCTCTTTGATGCATATAAAGAAGGTGATGAGGAAGATATTGCTTACCATCTGTATATTACATTATATGATTACAAGTTAACAGATTTTCCACCAAAGAAATCAATAAGCATATTCTGTTAAGAAAGTATTTCCTTGAAAGCTGTTACTTTTAAAGAAAAATGACTGAATAAAAAAAGTTATGAGTAGTGATAATGGAAGGTACGGAAGCCGGTAGGTGCCAGGTAGAAAAATATTTGATCTGGCGGCCACCAGATAATTATTTGGCGGTCGCCAGGTAAAATATTTTTTCTACCTGGCACCAACCGGCTTCCGTAGGAAGGTAAATTTTTCAAGGATATAAATATATCATGAAATAAGGAATAGATGGCAGTTACCTCAGAAGCATCATGAAATAGCTTCATTTTAAATCTTCTGAAGAAAAGCCACTCATGAAAAACATCTTCCTTTGGTTTGACTTTCCTTTTCTCGTCATTGCTATCATCATCTTCGTCGTCATCATCATCGCTGTCCTCATCTTCATCATTTTCCTTTCTCTCTTGAGCCTTCTCAGCCAAGGAGGTATATGTCCTCTCAGCGTCATATCCAAAAGAGTGAAAGTTTTCAGACTTGTCGAAGAGAATGCACGTGGGAGTTTTCAGCGTGCCTTGCCCTTCGTTAAACCATGGTGGGTTGGATTCGATGTTCAAAGGATCTCTCTCGTAGTCTGTTCGCATGGAATAAGCGTAACCACTGTATGTAGTCCCAAAGTCAATAGCGCAGACGACAGGCCAAGGAGTGACGTCTGTGTCCTCTGTAGCCATTTATAACTGTAAAGCTATCAATTCAATATATAATGAAACATAGTAGTATGACGCACATGATCTGTAAATATCGCAATTCATGTAAATACCATCATGTATAACCCATCCGCCCATTTTACATTTTCTCCAAATAGTAATATTAGGTCATTGTTTTATACTAAATTTTACTACACATTTCTCAGATTACGTGATAAGTACAGAGGGCTCACGGAGGGTGTCTCTAGTTGACAGGGGATGTTTAATCAACCTAGGCACCTGATCCTATTTCTGGTGCTTTCATGGATCTGTGTTTTTGCTCTGTTCACGATTCGTATTGTTTACAGTTTTTAAGAAATTGGTCAGTGTTCGTTATGGACTTTTGCGAGAAGCGCTGACTTTTAAGCTAGTTGGCTCTTATCGTCTATAATCAGTAAAACATCCAAATATGAAACGGATGTGGCAGACTCTGTAGTGTTTTTTTTTTATATGTTGTTCACTTGGATCGAGTAGACATATGAATGTAAGTAATTATTGTCAATTGATAAAATGTAGTCCATATATATCTGAATGTCGAGTTGAAGGCCATGGCAAGTGTTTTCTTCTTTCAATGTAGAAGTTTTTTTTAATAAATTCTGTTTCATAGAAATACAAGAACAGGTCGACTAATAAAGGAGACAATTAATGTAAAATATATGGAGATAACGAACAGTATTCAAGCTCAAAAGTCCATTAAACAATACAAATTTGGAGCAGAGCAAACACGGACTTCTAAAACATCAGAGGTGGGATCAGGTGCCATGGAGGAGTGATCGAGCATCCCCTGCCGACCGGTCACATCCGCCGTGTGCTTCTTGTCATGATCGGAAAATAACGTAAAAATCCGTCGACAGTCGAAATTCTACCAGTTTGTTGGGGGAGTTGGTCTCCACAGAATACATAATGTTGTCAATGGTTAACTCCAGCATCCTTTCAATATCAACTTCAGAGTACTTGTCTTTAGAATCATAGTGATTTTTAACAAAGCCATTTGTTAATGACCAATCACAAGATATGAAAAGTTCCGAGTTCATTTTTATTAAAGAGGCAGTTGTCTATGATGTCAAAAAGCCTGGTGTTTAATTTATTGTGACAAAAGTTGTATATAGTGTTGCAAATCATTACGTTTTGATGTTACTAAATTTAAAAAATTTAATTATCTCAAATTTTCGAAAACTTCTTTGAAATTTTTGAGAATCTACATTTGATTTACACCACTTCTAGAATATGCTGTAGCATAGTACGTCTGGTCGAGTTTCTCCTTTACAGTAATTAACATTTTTGTGAGAGTAAAGGTGGGGGCTTGAAGAGCACTTGCTGGACCAGTAAATGTTTCTGTTTGTAGGGATTTTCTATGAAGATTAGGTATAGGTAAGATAAGATAAAGATAGGATAATATTTATCTAAAATTGGGTTTTGACAACCATAAAAACATTCACTCTGAAGAGCTATTTTCCAAATACATAATATTGCATATTACAAGAAATAGTACTTTTGAAATATCACACTACTAAAATATCACAAATACACAAAGATGCATATAAAATGATATGACACAGTATTTATCACAAAAATACCAACATATCGAAATATAATAACATAGGTATGGTAGATCCAACTCACCTTCGTTGTCTGGAATTTCAAAAGTATTTACGATTGAAATGTTAATTTTAAGAATTTCATTCTCAGAAAGTGAACTGTGAGTAGAAACCTGTTTGTTCCTTAAATATCAATTTGCCAACAAAGGAATTGAGGCAGTAAATATAAGTAATATTCTTAATCACAAAAAGATCCAGTCTGGTATCCACCATATTTCAAGTTGAAGTCCACACCTTGTATTTCCTACAAATATACATCGACTATTGCTTCCAAACTTTTTAATTACAAGAAAACTCTACACTGTCTAGATATCGAACATCTGAAATATAATTCTCCTACGTGATCATGTTCTTCTTCACCCTATATCTATAGTACTGCTAGACACGTCATTACTGGTGACGTAATAATAATGAGGACCTTAAATCACTTATTTTAAAAGGGCCAAAATTTAGGGAACCCGATCTTTCAACTGGCTTCATAATTTCATAAATATTATGAATTCTGTGGAAGATTACGCAAGGCGATGGGCCAAACATGAAAAAGGAAAAAGACCTTGACACTTTATCAGAATGGATAAAAGTAAAAGATGCGTGTTGAAATCTCGTATTAAGCGGCTCTTTAATAATTCAGTAGTGAAAAAGAATTAAATAGAATGTTCTGGTCCCAGCTAACAAAGCAGGTAACAACATTGTCTTTGTTTGTAAGGCTCGTTATTTTAATTGTATTTAAGAGGAACTGGAATTTAATTCTGCAAGTTCCAATCCAACATATATTTCCCTTTCTAAGGAGGAAGCTGTTCAAAGTCATATGTCAGTTTTAATTATTTTTAACATTTCCAACCATCAAATTGAATTTGAATTACCATATCTATACTGGATTCCTAAATTACATAAAATTCTTACAAACAAAAATACATAGCGGATTCCACAGTAAATTTATGTGCTCTACCAAGTCCTTGCTAAAATACTAGTATTAACAGCAGAGAAGGAGAAACTTCAAGAGTAGTGTACAACAATATATTCGAGAAATGGTGTAAATCAGATATGAATACTTAAAAACTCCCAGGAACTTTTAGAAATTTTAAAATCACAGAATTTTACCAAAATTAATCATATCAAAACGTACGACTTTTCAACACTTCATACAACTATTCCCCATGATAAATTTAAGTATGGCATTTCAACACTTTATACAACCATTCCCCACAATTAAGTCCAAACTTTGTGACATCATAGCTACTTATATATATATATATATATATATATATATATATATATATATATATATATATATATATATATATAAATGGAACTCGTAAATTAACTTAACCATGTCCTTGGTCATTTGCAAAATTATTTTGTTAAAAACATTCTGATTGTACACACAGGTACTCCAAAGTTGAAATAAAGATGCACGAGTTTCTGACTGACAATACCTATGTAGTTTTTTTGTTTTGTTTTGTTTTGTTTTGTTTTTTGTTTTTTTTTTGGACATCAAGTCTTCCGACAGAGTGTCCCATGGGTACCTGTTATTAGCAGACCTATTTTTGCATTCATATGAAACAGAATTTATTGAAAAACTACATGAAAAGAAGAAGCCTCTTGCTGTGGCCTTCAATTCAATTTAGATATACAACGTTTTATCAAATAACAATATTCATTTTCATTCATACTTTGATTTGATATATCCCTTTAAACTCGAAATAAAAGATACCACAGAGTCTGATACATCTGTTTCATATATCATACCGGGTAGTTTATGAGAAATGTGACGACTTCAACTTTGATATCGCCAACTTCCCTTATAGTAATATACCCTTATACCCTGCATATGCCTTGCCGTTGATTCGATACGGAAGAGCATGCTCTACGTATGGACAATTTTTAAAACGAGGCAAGCTATTGACAAATAAGTTGATGAAACAATAATATCAAAAGTCTCGTTTAAAGTCATCATTTTGCAAATTCTATGGTCGATACAATGACCTTGTCAGCAAATACATTCTATCATTAAGTCGATCGATTGAAATCAAAAAAATGAAAAAAAGTCATACAAATCGTTAGGCCGTTTTTACACTGAATTGTTTACGGATTTTTCCGTTTTCCCGATCATGACAAGGCGCAGACGGCGGGTGTGACCGGTCGACAGGGGACTTACTCTTCCATGGCATCTGATCCCACCTCTGCAGCTGATGCTTTTAGAATCTGCTCCAAATTTGTATTGTTTCATTGGACTTTTGAGCTCGATAACTGTTCGTTATCTTCATGTAGAATGCATTAAAAACGAAAGTAGCGAAAAATTTCGACAACGCAAATATTGAAATTGTTACTTACATGTTCATTTGTATCTGCAGAGGGAAATTTCTTTTCTGAAACTGAAAACAATTATTATAGAGTTAAGTTGAGTAAGTGTTCGTATTGCCCACATTTATACAGATATGTTTACTACTCCGATTTCCTGTTGACCTGTGTGCATAGGTACAGGAGTCGACAACTCCAGATAGGTGAATGCCACTGCCGGTCCGTAATTGTGTAATAAACCAAGATTAATTTTATGAAAAATGGAAACATTATTTCCCTAAAGGTTATATAGTTTTTTTCCCTTCAAGTTTCAATTGCTTTGTAACATGCCGTAGCAATGCGTATTTTGATGTGCAAGTTCAAATTTTAAAATAAAAAGGTCTTATGTGACCTTTTTCAATACTGATGATTTTGATTTGATGATAGAATCAATTTTATTGATCAAACATTAAGGACTATAGAATATGATATATTTCTGTATTTTGTCATACCTTTGAGTACGTGATTGAAGTTAATAGATATGATTGATGATTGTTAAAGAAGCGGCTTTTTCAAGAGAATTCTTATTTATTTCAACATCATGAACATGTACAAAGAACAAATTCGCTTATTTAAAGACTTCCATTTTATTTCTGGTGTTTTGTTCAATCTCATGCACTGTTATAGCTTGTGTTGTCAATATCGTCATGCTTCGTTTTTATTTAATGTTATTTCCTTTTTTCTACAGAGACCACGATGGTTTTAGAAAACATGAAAATAATTACCAGAATTACCATTATACCATTCACTAAGGAGACAAAAATATAGGTATTTTTTCTCGGTCTAATATATTCGTCATTTAGAAGAAGTAAGATTATAATAAATAGAACATATATATATATATATATATATATATATATATATATATATATATATATATATATATATATATATATATATATATATATATATATATATCAATAATTTCCTATCAGAAATATAAAAGATATTTAACGAACAGAACAGAATATTTTATTTCTAATTTGGAGCCCAGAACAGACAAGTCTGAAATTATTACAATAACAAGGAAAAGATACGTGTTTGAACAAAAA